ATTCAGAAGATATCGATAGAAATCATAAGATAGAACTGGCAAGGGAAAAATTGATGTCGAAAGCTATAAATAGAAAAAAATATAGGAAGTTAGGGAAAGTAATGAATTACTCGAAGAATGATTTATAGTGTGGGTGAAAACAAACAAAATATATATACTGAAGATAATTTTATAAAGAAATTCTTTCTCATTCATGAAGGGCCGTACATGATTCCCAGAATTTTTTTTCGAACTCATATGAATTAACTGCTCCTGAGACAAATAAAGTCAAAGGGGCATTCAATGTCACGCATTTGAAACCCTATCATCATTGACTCAGAATCATTGAAATGGTTTGTAGTTCAAGGGACGTTGTAAATGATAATTTATTGAATAATTTCTTTTAGTGATTACTCAATAAATTGGTGGAACGATGTAACGGCACAAGTTCACATCAATAAGTAAATAAATTCATCATGGCACACACGGTACATAGCGATGAACGTGACAAAAACAAAAAATAAGTGTAAAAAATAAATAATTGTGACTGACATCAGTCAGAGGTTTTGAAAACTATTTCAAATTAATATTCAAAGGCAACAACCACCGTAAGGAACATAAGGTTTCATGTAACGTGTGTCCATATTTCAATTATATTCAATTCATAGCAAACGGCGTGGTTGTAATTTCTGAATCTGATATCTATTAGAAATCCCTGGACGAGGTTCAGCCGTTGTTTTTCGTACCTGTTATCATCTGCATCGTTCCATTTGACTAGATAGAATATGGGAGAGGGATTCTCTGCTGCGGAAGACACCTACTACAAGTGAATGGTGAGATTGTTCCACGTTTCAATCAACTTCATTCGAGAGAGTGGGAAGCTCAATAATAGTGACCTTTTTCCTGTGCTGCAGACTACAGACCAATTTAGGAAACAGACTGTGCTACATATTATGCTGCAGATCATTATAGAAAAGAGACTATAGTTATTAGTTATTGTTTCTGTCGATGATGATGATATTGTCATCATCAATTGATTTGTTGATCATTCATTCACAATATTTTAGTCAATTCATTAATTGTTACCACCGAGGTTCAGTTTCATAATCATTCATTCATTCATGCATTCATTCATTCTAGTCCCATTTAGACATACTTAGTTGAATTTGTGAGGTTTTTGGCTCTGGCAAAATCCGATCTGGAATTGAATATTTTCAAAATTAAATTGAGTAGCCTGTCCGTTTCAACAGAAATATCCATTGCAAGAAAAGGATACACCAGCATTGATACAATTTCTGTGTCTCAATTTCCGTGGTCAAAGATTGATTTTTTGACACAGCTGGGTTTCTGAGAAAATATTTTTCTAAATCGCTGAGTGACAAAAAATTTAAGTTTGCATTTTAGCGCCCCAGTGAACTTCCTTAAAACCAGATTTTCTCAGATCCTTATTGTATTTCATATTTTTTGTAAATATGGATTCTGGACCAAGAGGAGTGAGGACGAAGAATACTTGTTTTTGTAATAATGTATGGTATCCTGCAGTAAACTGCAAGAACCAATTTTGAGATATTTTATCTTTATAATCTTGTACAAAGTACCCCGCACCGCAATAGGGGGGAAATTGGCTTTCGGTGAATTTTCTCGAATTTTGGAAATATCGTAGAACTCGTGATGCTTATCAGATGTCCCAATTATCAACGCTCTAAATTCAATAGTTTATATTATACAGGGTGCTGAAGTTGACTTTTTCGAAATTTCGAATGGCCATTGTGAAGTTTCCTTTTAGAATACCAAAATCAAATCGACTACGTTTTGTTTGCCCATGTGGCCGGTGAAAATCCACTATAGAGTTCAATGATATCTGCACGTACTCACGATATACAGAGTTGGTCCAAAAATAGCAAATGTTTCAATTATTTCCGAAATTGTGAGCGGTTGAAATCAATTCATTTTTGGAAATTCCGTAGTATACTAATATCAACATCGATTCATGATGATTGCATTTTTTCCATGAAACCACACCCGTCCTGATATTCATATCCATCGAATGATTGGAATCCCGTAAAACTTGGTGAGGATGTTGATAATTCATGATGACAATATTTTATGCAAATACCTGAAATATACAGGGTGGTTGAGAAAGCAGTAGTGGAGTTTTCTTGGTGTTGATGTACTCCAGAGCAATTGAGAAACAAGACAGAAATCCTGAGAACGTCAACTCCAAGAAAACTCCACTATTACTTTCTTAACCACCCTGTATATTTCAGGTATCGCATAAAATATTGTCATTACGAATTATCAACTTCCTCACCAAGTTTTACAGGATGCCAATCATTCGATGGATATGGATATCAGGACGGGTGGTTTCATGGAAACTTGAACATCTTGTGTATAATATATAATCTGATACAAGAAATGCTATAATCATGAATCGATGTTGATATTAGTATACAACGAAATGTCCAAAAATGAATTGATTTTAACCGCTCACTTTTTCGGAAATATTTGAAACATTTGCTATTTTTGGACCAACTCTGTATATCGTGAGTACGTGCAGTTATCATTGAACTCTATAGTGGATTTTCACCGACCATATGGACAAACAAAACGTAGTCGATTTGATTTTGGTATTCAAAAAGGAAACTTCACAATGGCCATTCTGAATTTTGAAAAAGTCAACTTCAGCACCCTGTATAATACAAACTATTGAATTTAGAGCGTTGATAATTGAGACATCTGATCAGCATCACGAGTTCTACAATATATCCGAAATTCGAGAAAATTCACCGAAAGCCAATTTCCCCCCCTATTGCGGTGCGGGGTCCTTTTCTGGTGATTTTACATGGTATATAATCATTTCTGGTAATTTTATAATAATTGATGATGTTTCAGGTACATATCCAAGTTGCAAGTAATTGTTTAATATTGAAAAAAATAGTTATTTATGTACCGAGGACGAAACACTGTCTATTATAGTTGAATCTGCAAATTGATAGCCGAGTCCTTAGCTGAGAAGCTCGAGATCAGGCAAGACAATAGACAGTTTCAAGTGGAGGTGCATATAACATTTTTTGGTCGACCTCAAACACATATCCACATCACGGTCCTATTCACACGTGAAATCTATAGCACAGGAAGGAAGGAATGCTCGAAGTCATATCCACAAATTTTAATGATATTGTTACTAAATCATAAGGGACATGTTTCGGTCATATAAAAGACAATCTTCCTAATTCAAAGGTCTACTACGCGAAAACAAATGATATTGAAGTGAAAGAATTAACTATTTTATGCTAGACTTACTTGAAGTTGAAAAAATTTTTATGATGCTTATATTCCTTGAAATGGCAATGCCCATAGTCAAGAATTCCAAAGGTTCAGAATAAACGGGTTCTCAATAAATGAAGGGCCCCGTGCCCTGAGAGTGCATACTATTGGTTTTTAGTGAACATTTCATATACCAGAATGGTATATGAAGGGTATTGCCAAAAAGTTCGTTTTTTCACAACACCATACACTAACGGGTTTTGTAAAAAGGGGTTCCCCGTGCCCTTATGAAAGCACTACTTAAAGGAAAATATCAATAAAATTGATGGGGCAAACAGCCAGCACGTGTTTTAATCTAAACTAATTTGGTTAGAAAACACTGAAAAATTATGTCAAATAAAGACATGGACAAGACTTTGACATAGTCAATGTCAAGGGATAAAACATGAAATTCTGACCATGAGCATAGGCATATAACAATATCAATCACAACTATTGAAGAATGTGGATTTAGGAGGGATGCATGTAGGAGAGAGTTGAGCAAACCTGAAAAATCATTGACTATGAAATATCATAAAATAAGTTGAGACCAAGGTAGGTGGACTATCAGTGGGTTAAATCCAAAGCATTAAAAGAATTTATAAAATCAAAATGTGTTTGTTGATCAAGAGACAAGACAGAATTATTATTCATGGAAGAATTAATTTCAAGAATTTCCAGTAAATTCAGTAACCTACCTTTTGGACAGACATGTAGAATTTTAAGGTCATGATTTGAATCAAAACTATCGTGTGAATTCAGGATGTGGTTTGCAAAAGAACTTTTAGTATCATATTCATCAAATAAAGGGAGATTATTCTTGGATTTTTCAATAATTATAACATGTTCAGTAACTCTGGTTAACATTTTTCTACCACTTTGTCCAACATGTTGAGCATTGCAATTTTGATCAGAGCAAGAGATACAATAGACTCCAGATTTGTGATTCAAAAGGACTTTATCTTCAGAATTAACGAAATTTTTCGAAATATTATCAACTGTGCAAAAAGAGATGGTAATATCCTCACTAAAAATATTTTTGATATCATACGAGACTTTGCCAAGGAAAGGAATGGATAAAAAACGTATTCGTGGATTTTGTATTGGTAACAAGCTTCTATTGAAGGATTTATTTTGGTGTTTATTGACCATCTTATTGATAATATGGGGAGGGAAACCATTGTTGTGTCCAATCTGCATCAATGGGAAATTGGCTTTCGGTGAATTTACACGAATTTTTGAAATTTTGTAGAACTCGTGGTGCTGATCAAATGTCTCCATTGCACCAACGCTCTAAAATCAACAGTTAAAATTAGGGATGCACCGGGTACCGGGTATTACTCGGTACCCGGCTTCGCTTTGGATACCCGGCTCGAGAACAGAAATATATTAATAACACAAATAACATTCTCACTAGAACCCAAAACAAAAAATCGTGATAAAACTAATATTCAAAATTAAGGAGTGGTAAATTGTCATGAAGGAATATTAGTTGTTCTCCGTTTTCTGGCAATAGTCTGTTTCTTGTCGACTCGAAGACATTTCCTGCTTCAGAAAATAAGCGTTCGCTTCATATTGTGGATGCTGGTGCGGACAAAAAGGTCCTAGCTGTCAAAGCTAAATTTGGAAAATGTTCTCGGTTTATTTGCCACCATCCCAACGGAGAAGCCTTTCTATCAATAACATTCAAATTGAGATAAGCCTGAATTTCACTTTTAATTTTTTGTTTGTCCAGATGTACTTGCTGAAGATGCAGCCACCATATCTGAGAAGCTATCCCAAACGGACTTGTTCAAGTTGGATTTTAATTTCTTTTGGGGAGAGGGCAGTAAAAGGCTTAGTGGTATTTCATCTTGATCAGAGTCAGAGCCCTCAGTTTCATGTACAGATTTCGAATTTTCATCTACAGTTGAAAAAGTCGAAACAGTTTCTTCAATCTGTGCTTGTATATCTTGAATATCTTCATCTTCACTCCTTAAGATAAAGTTTAAAATATCCTGCTATATCATATTTCTAACATTTGGCGTATAAAATATATTTTTAAACCTAGGGTCAACAAATGTAGAAATTTTATAGTTGTCTTTACGTTCTACATCTGAAAATCTCTGTTCAATGCATCAGCAATTAGTGAATTCTTCATCTTGTTGATCTCATTTGCTGTACATTCTTGAATATGTGTCTTCAGTACCTTGAGTGTAGGTATGACCTCTGAAATTACAGCTGAAGATGAACTAAAATGCTTTGTAACTTCCTCAAAAGGTTTAAGTAATGTAAGGATATTTTCCAAAAGTATCCACTGATTTTGTGACAGACTTTGAACACTGTCATTTTCAGAACAAAATAAAGTAAGTGGTCTTTTAAGTTCAAGAAGCCGATTCATCATATAGTATGAAGAATTCCAACGCGTTAAAACATCTTGGACTAACTTTTTTGGGATCATATTTAAATCTTTTTGGATATTGTCCAATTTTTCCCTGGAAGGTGATGAGTGATTGAAATGTGTCACAATATTTCTGCAAAGACGAATTAAATCTAAAACGTCTGTTTGAGATTTAATGGAATCTAGAACAACAAGTTGTAATATATGAATAAAACAAGATTCGCGATTCAGATTCATATCTTTAGCAGCTTTTTTAATATTCGCCCCACTATCACGCAGAAATAAATGAACTTTTTCGGTTAGTTTAAATTCTAAGAGCATTTCCTGTAGAACATTTGCAATTCTTTCACCAGTATGGCTTCCATCAAAACTTTTGCAATTAAGAACAGCATGTTTACTTTCAAAATTCTCTGTTAACCAGTGAGCAGTTAGGCTTATAAAACTTTTGTTATTTACGTCACTAGTCCACAAGTCAGATGTCAAGGATAAATAGCTGCATTTGTCCAACATTTCGCATATTTTAATCTTGCACCCATTGTATATTTGAGGGATGATATTCTCAGTAAAATATTTTCTGCTAGGAATGTCATACTTAGGTTGCGCCTTAGCCAGCATTCTACGGAAACCTAGAATCAAAAATCAAAATTACTTTTTGGTTTGGTACCTTACATTTACATTAAAAAAATGAAACATAAAATTAGGGACACATTAAAATCCAAACAAACATGTTTAATTTACTGATGAGTAAATAGTAAGTATTTTTACACTTACCGATATTCTCCACTACACTATATGGCTGATTATCAACAGCGATCATCTCTCCTATAGCAAAATGTAAATCCATTGCCATTTTATCATTAATTGGCCATCTTTTCTGTGAAACCATCGAATTTTGTAATGTTTGCCTTGATTGCTGCACAATTCTAGGACAATCTTGTAGTGCTTGACTCTGCTCGGTCATTGCGGCATCTTTATATTCTTTAAAATGTTTATGTTTCAAATGTTTTAAGAGGGACGAAGTGGACTGTTTTTTTCCAATTCCACCTCTCGAAATTTTTGCATTACATAAAAAGCACACTGCTACAGTTTGATCTTCATCATGTATACTAAAGAATTTCCATACCTTACTTCTTTGTTCAGTCATTTTCTTATTTCGCTGCCAGGTATGTCTGTAATAAAACCTGAATAGTGAATATGACATTAGTCGTCCCTATTTCAAATTATAAACAATCAGATAAATTAACAACGTTACTTACCTATAAATGAGGTGTAAATTTCTTTTGAAGTTAATATATTTGCTAGATACGTAACCAACTATCTATAAGCCCGTAGTAAAATCTGTAATCCGTATTTTCATCTTTCATCCTGTCTCGGTGAATCCCCTTTCCTTTCTCGGTGAATCCCCTTTATTTACGATTGATACACACGCACGGTGGGATGGAAAAACAAAAATAACAAAATCTCCTGCCTGTGTGTACATTGGGTTGCTTTTATCTGCCTCTGATTATGCATGGTTTTTATTGCCCAGCAAACATGAACTGCCGGCGTACGAACGGCCTTCAGCTGGAAAGCCTGGCAGAACGGCGGCAACGGCATGTATTGATTGGGCCAGAACTAATTCAGTAACGGCGTGCCTAGATGGTATTATGGGTGCTCATTTTCAAAGGACCGTGCCTGTATTTACTTTAACTTACCGCCACCGGGTCTTGAACTCTGGTCCGGTGCCGTCTGACTGGCATGCAACCATGCCTATAAATCTGCGCCGATCGCGACCTCGCGACGAACAAAACAAACGTGGATCAGTTTTGAATATCCCGCTATTTTACACTATGTTC